ACTAATACTGGTTTAGTATAGATGTATCACAAATATTGCATGGGATATACTTATACTAAATTTGCTAAATCTGGCAACCCTATCAGGGCTGGGCCAGAAGGGGAGAGTTTGAACAGAGAAATGACTTTATCTGATTTAAAAATGTAAGGTGATTTTTGGAATCAGCTCATTAACCCATCTGACTCCTACTGATTAAACGCGTATTATTCCAGACAGTGTGCTGGGCTCTGGGCGTTCAACTGTAAGCAAATGAACAGGATACAATACCGGCCATCATAAGCAAATCCCTCTGCCCAGAGGACTCTACACCCTTTGGTCCAGACTTATCCATTCTCGTCCTTCAGAACACAAAGTGTCCCAGTCTCAGGAACCTGCCCAAGCCTCCAGGACCAGCACGGTTTACACACACTCAGCACAACACCTGAGCCTCTCCGCACACTGCCAACATCTGTCTTGGCTAAACTATGGGCTCCATGAGGACAGGAATAGGTCTGTCTTGCTCCCAGTTGGTTGCCTGGGGCTAGGACACTGCCAGACTTAGTGTGTTTTGACTGAGTGGCCGTTTGTTTCAACCTGGTTCTCCAGGCTTCCTGGTGGTGGCGTGAGCTACCTAACATCCTTGCAGTAAAATGTATTCTATTAGGGTTAGCTAGACTTGGCTTCAGCTGCTTGTCTTCTCCTGGAGCACCTGCCACAGCAGTGCAGGTGGTCGGGACTCGCAGAGACCGAGGTCCTTGGGACATACAGGTGGGGGAAGGGACATGTTTGAGTTTCGCTGTCTTCCCAACATTTTTCTTTTCTCCTTCCCTCGCACCCCCCCCCCATCATACAGACGCTATCCCTTTGGAGTGGATACTGTCGGTAGCCCACCCAGCAGGTAGCTCATGATATATTCATGTGCTAGTTAACGAGAGGGCAAAATGACATTTTCCAGACGTTAAAAATTTGGGAAGAGGAATTATGGTTTATCAACGTAATGAAACACGGAGGAACCATTTAAAATGAAACTTACAATTACTTAGGGGTATGCTTATGATAGAAGATATTAAGTACCAAAAGCAAGATTTAAAAATTATATTCTTTTTAAACAAGGTTACATTGAATATATATAAATATATATAAATATATATATATATATATATATATATATATTTAATACACCTGTACAGTGAAAAAGACTGGCAGGAAAAATGCCAAGACCCCAGCGACGATTGTTATCGAGTTTTCTGTTATTTTCTAAGCTTTATGTAGCTATACCAAAAGCTCTTGGTACACGAAGTTTCCATGCTGCAAGGATTCCCGGAGAGAAATAAAAATAGCACTGAGTTGAAAACTTTTCTCCCGAGTTAAGCCTCCAAGGTGCCGTTTACATTTTCCCGTTGAAAGCCTCCCATTCGCTCTAGGAAGCCGCCTCCTTTCTCCTCCAAAGCCCCAGTCAGTTTTTTCACCCAGCCAATGCGGATGCGAACAGCCGCAGCGAGAACCAGTGAGAGCTCTCGCAGCGGACTCAGCCTGGAGGCAGTTGGCCCATTCGCGGCCCAGCCCAGACGTAGATATCTTGTAGGTAGAAAAAAGACTCCGGCACAACCGAGTGGCCGGTTAGCTCAGTTGGTTAGAGCGTGGTGCTAATAACGCCAAGGTCGCGGGTTCGATCCCCGTACGGGCCACACCTGTTTTTTCCCCCTCTTCTTTAAATACCAGTAGCAATTACCCTATAACTCGATAAATATGCTTTTCGAGGGCTGTAAGCTGCGTGCAGGCAGGAGAGAGTCGCGGAATCCGGACTCCCCCTCGATGTTGTCGCCGGCGCCGGGTGGGGATAGAGGGCAGGATCCCACGCACGTTCGGGTGCTGAGTCTTCACCCCAAGTCTCCGCACGAGCAGCACTTCAGAAACCCTCCTCGGGTCTTTTTTAGGATACCACTGCCAGTTTCTTTCTTTCTTTCTTTTCTTTCTTTCTTTCTTTCTTTCTTTCTTTCTTTCTTTCTTTCTTTCTTTCTTTCTTTCTTTCTTTCTTTCTTTCTTTCTTTCTT